ACGTCTTCCTGGGAGCCCATACTTCCTGTTGCATCATGTTGAAGGTTCCATGGTAGCCCAATAGAATCGCCTTCCCTCCACGCTAAGCTGAGCGCTGATCTGGCAAACTCGCGCTCCTCACGAAGACACGCTGCTTCTTTTTCCAGATTCCGGGCTTGCTCTTCTAATTTCAGACCTTGATCGGTTAGACCCTTGTCTTCCATATCCAACTTCTCACGTTCCTCCGTTGTAGCCCGGAGTTCCTGGTCTTGCTTCTGGCGCATCTCCATTTTAGCCGCGATTTCTAGATCAAGCTTCTGGCGCATCTCCGTTTTGGCCCTCAAATCGTTCTCTACAGTCTAGCGCATCTCCTTCATAAAGACCATCCGACAGTCAGCCAAGTGGGTCTTTCCAGTCAACTCTTTAAAACGGATCTGAGCTTCCTCTATTCCCCAACGAGCTTCTTCCATTCTGTCCGTCCAAAGCAAAGAGACGCGTTGAGAAAAAGAAAAGGATGGGTGATCGACCACCTCACATTCAATCACCATCTGTAGATCAGCAACTCGCGCAAACACAATATCAAGATTTAACGGGGAATCTGGTCGCCCGAAACCACTAATTGAAAGAAATAACACACAGGCGCGACGAGACTTAATATCAAGACCCATCAGAAAAAAAGGGTTGAATCCCGATAAAAATTAGCATCATACCATCGAAAGCAATCTCAAGCAGTGGGGGAAATTGATGTAAGCAAGAAAAATCACATAACCTAGAGTTGGGGATTCAGTTCACTCGAGATTTCCCCTCAATTTGGTTTCAAGATTTGGCACATAACAGACTTCAGATCACTACGGAGATTTCCCATTCGACGAACAGAAAGCAGGACGAACGGAAAACAAAATATGTTGGCAAAGGCGAGATTAACTCACTTGATCGGAGTGAACTCCAGATTTGGGTGCGATCGTTGGCGACGGAATGACTCTGGGCGCGGGATGAGCGCCAAGCCGATACTGTGACGATGGGCAACAGTCGGACGGGGAAAGATTCAGCAAACTCCGGGCGCTCGCGGTGGGCGGGAACTGAGCGGTGGGCGGGAAGTGAGGGACACTTGAAGATCCAGTAAAACACACCGATTTCCGTTTCTTTAATCTTTACCCCTCGCCGAGCTTCAAAAAAAAAAAAATCTTTACCCCTCACCGTAAAGTAAACAGTAGGATTTAAGGGTGCCCCTCTCTGTCTCTCTCTCGTCCTTATTTATATAGAACTCGGTGCTGCCACTTGGGCCGGAGCGATAATTTCATGGGCCGCCAAACGTACTCCATCAGACCGTGACCCGATTTGTCTTACTATATATTATGGTTGTTCAAAAACTTCTTACCACATAAGCACTTGGAGAGTTCACAAGTTGTCAAGGTGGACAATTTTTTTACAAACAAAAAAAAAGTTAATGATCTATTTATGGTGTTATCTCTTTTCTTTTAATGATTTTTCTTCTTTTCTTCTATAATTCATGTTTGTTTTTGTAGTATATCTATGTTTGTTGCTATAGACTAATGTTATTTGTAGAGTGATACATATTGTATTTATTAAAATAAAAAAAATCTTATTAAACTTTATCAAATAACTTTATGTGTATTAAAAAGGTCTGGATAGAAACTTGATGATGGAAGGTCTGGATAGAAACTTGCTTACTATATATTATGGTTGTTCAAAAATAACTTCTTGCCACATAAGCACTTGGAGAGTTCATAAGTTGTCAAGGTGGACAATTTTTTTACAAACCAAAAAAATTAGTTAATGATCTATTTATGGTGTTATCTCTCTTCTTTTAATGATTTTTCTTCTTTTCTTCTATAATTCTTGTTTGTTTTTGTTTTTGTATTATATCTATGTTTGTTGCTATAGACTAATGTTGTTTGTAGAGTGATACATATTGTATTTATTTAAATAAAAATATCTTATTGAACTTTATCAAGTAACTTTATGTGTATTAAAAAGGTCTGTATAGAAACTTGATGTGTACAAGTATTACATGACATGTGTGAATGTTGGAGAAATATTTATTGAGTATGTACGATAAACATTATGTTTTATCATCAACTCATCTAGCATTGATCAAAGTGTCAAAACAAATATGTTTTAGTTTGTAATAGTAAGCAATGTGTATGCCACAAAATTTTGTTTCATATTCTACTGAACGAGGTCAGTACAAAGGTCTTATTTACTAATCATGGTTAAAGATAAAGTAAACTCTTTATATAAGCTTAGATATTAACGGTAGATGTGTCTACAACACATCCATACTTTATGTATGTGAAATGTCAGAATATTTATATGAGTTTTAAAATTTTAATAAAAATAAACTTTCAAAAAATAATAATTTAATTGTTCAAACAATACGAAGTTTTTAATGCACATAAATCTATGTTCAGTGTAGACATGCTTTGTCAATTATTAACTTATATAATGAAAAATTTGTTCCAAAACTAACACAAAAAATAAGGAAAATTATGAAAATGCAGATTAACAAGTTGGAAAATTATACACTAAAAGACCATGTTAAGAAGAGAACCCTTGATAGCGTGTGATAGTTTCTTGATTTGAGATTCTAAGACAACATATAGACAACAATAATTGAATGAGGGATTATACAAATATAAAAAATTCGAAATTAATACATATTAAGTAAATAAAATTTAATAGCTTAAGCTTTCGAAAAAATTTAATTATTAGCCAAATCATTAAATATACAAAAGATTATCCAAATATTTTGTATCACATCAAAATATTAACCATGTGTCTGTTAGCATTAATAATTTTGTAACTCTTTTTTTAAGATAAATACTAAATTGGAATATAGATTGTCACGTGTCTCTTCCAAATCATCATCATGTTGTTGAGTTAACATTACTACCAAAAATGCTAACGGGAGTTAACGTTTGGCTAATGCTTTGCATTTTGAAAAGTTTGCTTGATTATTTGAAAAGTTTGGAAAATAAAATGTATTTACTCTATTATATAAGATTCTAAAGTTGTGTCTCTTGACAGAAAAATTTTAACATGTGATCGTTAGCCGAGACTTCATGAACCTTCACATAAAAATGAGGCAAGGTTAGAGAATTTGATCATCGTAAGAGGTACGGTGTGTGTCAAGTTTTACTTGAGATAAACACAATTTATAGTAATCAAGTATATTCATCTAATAATCTAAACTCTTGATAATTGGTGAAGAGTTTTGTCCTATCTCGAGAATCATGAATTGTTATATGTTTTATAAGATAATAAATTTGAGCACTTTTGTTGTCAAATCTTTGTATACTATATTACTATTCTAAATGGGAGAGATAAGCCTTAACAATATGATTTATGATTAGAGAATCAAAGCATCATAGGTGAGCCAGCTAAGTTGAGAATTTTCAATATAGACATATCACATACACACTTATGAAGTGTGAGCATAAAAATTAAAAAGGTTTTAAACATAAAGATAAATTAATTAATATAAATTATAAAATAAAATTTTCCGGCCAACGGACCGGGTAAAAAACTAATTATTTAAGAAGATCGATTTTATTTTATCGTGGTTTTTGGGGGTGCGTGTGTGTTTTTTTCCCCCCTGAGGTACGTGTGTTCGCATTTCGATGACTAAGAGGATAAAACATTTGCAAAATTGCAATCTTATTGGACAGAGTATACTAATTTGGATAGCTAATCACCTGTGAGAAGAGAATTATTGTCGGGTTTGGTGTTTCTGTATTGGACTCATTTTCGATTTGAGTTTCTCTTGGGCTTTCTTTATGGGCCTAGTTACTTTTATGACGCTTGTTCTAAATTTATAAATATTGCTTCATTTTATTCATAAATATTTGCTTAATATATTGCAGATAAGCTACGACATGTAAATTGTGATGTCATCTTCCATAAATTTATGTACTTCACTGTTCATACTACGTACTTTGGATGTACTTCAGGCAGATTATGTTATGTTGATTTTTTTTTCCAGTGGTGCCAATTTGCTTATCACTTCAAATTTTTTCCGTAGATGATTGAGGCTTCTAGTATATTATTTTTTTCCTAATTGTTGCGTTGTTGACGAGATGATAAAATAAAATAAAAAAACGTATCCGAAGTTGTACCAGATAAGTCAGTTGTGGGATATTTATCGTGATTTTACCTTGGTTCAACTGCTTCATACTGCGAAAAACCGCCTACCAATTTAGCCTTCGGTAGGAGGCTGTAACATCCCGTTTCGGCTAAACTCGTATTACGGTCGCTAGAAAAATTACGCGATTAAAATCGAGTGTTTTAATAATATTTCGACGAAAATCGGAATTCGAACGATCAGATAATTATCAATTATTTTATAATTATACATATAAGGATAACTATTAGTTATATATAAATATTAACAACACGTGTGTTGTAAAAGAAAAGGGAAATTAAATAAAACAAAGCGGCCGAGCCGCTGTATGTATATTAAATACAACCGCCAATTATATATCCTCTTCGTCCCATTATTCTCATTCCATCAATTTTTCCATTTCCATACCGAGAGGAACAGAGAGCTCAGAGGTAGCTCGATGAGAAATTTCCAAAGCTTCATTCTTGAGCTCTAGTAGCCCAAAAATCTCGTAGGTAATGCCTAATCCATCCATTCATCGTGATTTATTGATTTAGAGCTTTAAAACGAGTTTTTGGTTCAGGAATTTCTCGAATTCCCGATAAGCCAAATTAGGGTTTCGGAGTATCCGGAAGCCGGATTGAGCCCAAATTTCATATACGAGCTTCCTGCAGCGAGGTAATCAATCCTCTAGTTCTAATCCCTGAATTTCGGCAATTATTTAGGTCGGGGTCCTAATCGCTGAATTTAGTTCCGGCCAGGGTTTGATGTGTTTTTATCAAGAATTTGACCCGGAGCCTAGAACTAATATTGACGGGGATACTGCAGGGGATGTTAGGACGGTCTCGGATTTTAATTCGGGGTTCGTTCGTGAAATTGACGTTTTAGTACGGGAAGGTTAAACCGGTGTTTGAACGACCAGAACTGGTGAGGGATTAGCACGGCATACCGGGTTTGTCGTATCATGATAATTATATTGATGCTTAGAATTGACCTAGGTGAACTAGAATGGCATGATTAGGGGTGTATGGACTTTTATGCTATATGATGAACCATGGATCGTTGTATGATATTATTGACTTGCCCTAGCCGATATGGACCTTGTTTATGCTGATAATTGCTTGCATGTTGCCATTTGTGGCTTAATTGTTGATATGACTTCATGGTTGTTCGATCAGGTGTTTTGACATGATGTGATATTGTGGTTGTTTTTGGATGCACAAGTGGGGAAATAAACTTCTCAGGGTGATATTATGATGTTTAAGGAGGATGACTTGCACGAGGGTTTATCCCGAGGAAGTGCAATTATACGACTCCTTATTTACCTATGTTGAGCCAATTGTGGCCAGGTCAAGTACATGTGCAAGTAACAAATTATGATTAAGCAAGATGAGATATGAATCATGTATAAGGATACCAAATATGAGTGTTGTGGTCTCACGGTCAACTACATAGTAATTAGGGCTCCCTATGCTATTACTCTATTATGATATGTATGATAGTCACACCTCTCATGTGATGGTGACTGAAGAATTCTTACGAGATATGACCACACCCAGAGCGATGTCGGGGTATGACTACACCCATAGTGGTGTGGGGTATGTATGACCACATCCGACGGGATGTTGGGGTATGTATGACTACATCCGACAGGATGTGGGGTATGTTTCCCGGGAGAGTTATTAGCATGGGAGTAGCCAGGCGCCTATAAGTAAAACATGATAAGATGCATATGCATAAGTCAAGGTGGTTGAGTCTTTTGCCTATTGGGATGTCAGATGCCTGAGGTCTGATCCTAGTGTTTTGGCTTGATTGTTAGATGTATGGTAGGGGTATGCTCTGTTATGAACTCACGATGCTATGATTATCTCACTCAGCTATGAGCTGACCCTCTTTATCCTTTTTCTCTGCTTATGCCATGTGTAAGCAGATCATCATCATCAGCAGCAGTAGATAGGTGTATAGGTGGGAGCTGAGCAGGAGTTGAAGCCAGGATGAGGTATGGTCTTCAACTATTCTGTGCTTGGACTACTACTCGGGATTTTGGCCAGTGATCCACACCTTTTTGTAAAATGTTTTGAGAACGTTTTTCATGTGCATACTAGCTTCTGATGTAGTGTGAGATATCCACAGGTGTGGAAAGTTGATGATATGTGTATATTTGTGTAATTATGTAAGTTGTGACGATTATGGCATGTATCAGTATAGTATGCAGTTGTGTAACATGAAACTGTGACTATGGCTATGAAAAGCCAATGCATATGGCAGTGAGTGTATATGTTTATCTATGAATGCACGGATTTAGATGAATTATTTTGCAGGATTAGATGGAAGAACTGTTAGCCCATTACGCGAGTAATTCATGTCGAAATTTTATTTGGGTAAATTTTGATAATTAATGTAACACCTAAGATTAATTCCGCTGCAATTGTATGAACAATATGATTAGGCAAAACGTATAGGGTAGGGAGTTACAGCTTGGTATCAGAGCTGGTTTGTTTTCTGCATTATGGGTATGTTACTTTCACTCTTGAGGACTGATCACCCTCGTAAGGGGAGGGAGTACTCCATACCTGTACTTGCACTAAACTTTCCAGGATTGGGACCAAAGGTGATGATGTGTTGCATAGTCAGTTGCATATGGTTAAGCATGATTTTGAGTATTTGAAGGAATCTTGAAAATTTTATGGTTTAAGAGATTTTTGAAAATATGTAGAGTTTTTATCTTATTGTCCTAGTAATGATTTTGAAGAAAATTTTGTTTCAACCAAGTGAGTAACTTAGTTAGACACAAATGGTGTGTGGATCAAACTGAGGCCAATATTTCCTTGTAGCTCGCACAGAAGTTGTCCTAGAAATCCTACTAACCAATCGAGAAGCATGGTGGCTAGCTATGTAATGCAGTTAAGTTTAGGCTGTGCTAACATTATGAGTTATGATGGTAGATATTTGAATATAGATACGAATCTTGATGATGTTGTGGTAACCATTTTGTAGGTTGATATAACCCTGAGTTAGTAGCGACCTACTTTGCAGGTTAACAATCTTGCTTAGTGAGTTATGTTTTCAGCTTGTTGATGTGCTTTTGTTGTGATAGCCCAGTATAGGTTTTTGAAACCTAAACATGGGAACTTGAGATGTTATGTGTTTAGTTATGTACTTCAGATCTCCTAACCTAAGAGTTAGGTAGTAACAAGATATGTGATAGTATCTTCTAGGAGGAGAACGAGTAGATGCGAGAATTGACTGAAGTTTAGATTTCGGGGACGAAATCTTTTAAGGAGGGGAGAATTGTAACATCCCGTTTCGGCTAAACTCGTATTACGGTCGCTAGAAAAATTATGCGATTAAAATCGAGTGTTTTAATAATATTTCGACGAAAATCGGAATATCGAACGATCAGATAATTATCAATTATTTTATAATTATACATATAAGGATAACTATTAGTTATATATAAATATTTAACAACACGTGTGTTGTAAAAGAAAAGGGAAATAAAATAAAACAAAGCGGCCGAGCCGCTGTATGTATATTAAATACAACCGCCAATTATATATCCTCTCCGTCCCATTATTCTCATTCCATCAATTTTTCCATTTCCATACCGAGAGGAACAGAGAGCTCAGAGGTAGCTCGATGAGAAATTTCCAAAGCTTCATTCTTGAGCTCTAGTAGCCCAAAAATCCCGTAGGTAGTGCCTAATCCATCCATTCATCGTGATTTATTGATTTAGAGCTTTAAAACGAATTTTTGGTTCAGGAATTTCTCGAATTCCCGATAAGCCAAATTAGGGTTTCGGAGTATCCGGAAGCCGGATTGATGACAAGAAGACTCAACAACCGGTGCATTATGCAAGCACCTCACATGGCCAGAAAATGGATTCAATAGATGAGAAAATAATGTATGGGACACAATAACTATCATGTCCTTTCTCATTTACGTTCATGCATGAGTGGTGAGTTATGATTTCTTTTGTTTTCCATTTCCATTATATATGTTGTATGGGTTTGTCAGAAGAATGGTCAGAGAGACACAAAACAAAAAGAAGAGAAAGAAGTCTCCCATGCGTGTATGTATAGCAAGAGCCAAAATAATAAGGCCTTGTTTGTTTGAGTGTTTCTTAAATTGATTGATTAAACACCAAAAGTTTCCTTTGTGTTGATCCTAATTTCTACCACAATTCCGCTAATCCCCAACAAATTTGGTATCAGAGCAAATACCCTTCTATCCTCTTAAATCCCCATTTTTCTAGCCTACCCAAATCTACTCAAAAACTCATGGCAACAACTTCATCACATACCATGTTTGCTACCTCTTCAAATCAAATTCCCATTTTCGATGGTGAATTGTACGAGTAATGGAGTGCTCAAATGGAGCCAATTTTCATCTCTCAAGACTGTGGATATAGTCCAAGATGGCTATGAAAGTCCACAGGAAGATCATGAAGACTCGAAGAAACGATCAGGCAAGCAGACAAAGGAGTACAAGGAGAATGCCAAGCAAAATGCAAGCGCCTTGAGAATCATTTAGCAAGCAGTGAGCAAATCAATTTACCCGGGAATCTATGGCGTCAAAAAGGCCAAAGAAGCTTGGGATGTCTTGCGTACACAATTTCAAGGTTCTGAAAAGTCGATCTCCATCAGGCGACAAAGTTTATGGCGACAGTTCGACAACTTGATGATGAAGGAAACCGACACTATCAAAGACTTCCATTCGCGTGTGGCGGAGACAGTCAACCAGATCAAAGCCACCGGTGACGTCATGGAAGAGAAAAATTGTGGAGAGAATTCACCGCAGTTTATCATCAAAGTTTGAGCATATTGCTGTTGTGATAGAAGAAACCAAAGATTTGGCAAATCTACCAATGAGCGAGTTGATGGGCTCACTTGTAGCACACGAGCAAAGAATGAGCCGCTTCACCAAACCGCCATTGGAGCAAGCTTTCTCGTCAAAAGTCAACATGACGGAAAAAAAATATGCCAAATCGGAGCAAGGCTAGAGAGGAGGAAACTCACAAGGAAGAGGAAGAGGAAGAGGAAGATCCAATTACAGAGGAAACAACAGACAAAATTTTCAACAACAAAGATCGGGCTACACCGGCTCGAGTTGCATAATTTGCAAAGAGGCGGGTCATGCAACAAAAGACTGCATATTCAAAAAGTAGAGAAAAGATCACTTTACTTTTTCAGAAAACGAGTGTTTGTCAGAAAAAGTAGAGAAAAGATCACTTTACTTTTTCAGAAAATGAGTTTTTGTCAGAAAGAGGAGTTGGGGGAGTTACCGAGGCAATCTCCACTTTCTCCCTCCTGTTGGAAGGGTTTCACTACCCTAGCCCGCTCGCCGAGGCCCAAATCGACAAGATCGCCTCACCCCCCAAGTTCACAAGCATCTCTACACTTCTGCAATGCAGATCCGGCCCGCCTCAGAGCAAACGCAGGCCCGCCTACCATCGCTGCCCACATAAGACCGCCTTTCATCCCTCCAAAGTGAAGCCCATCCGACCCGCATCAGTGGATCAAGCACGACCCAAGCGTCAGAGGCCCACGCCCCCACTCTCGTCAACATCACACCACTGCACTACAAGGCTGCTCTATGAATCAAAGAGCTACTCTTATTAATATCAACCGCTTCAACCAGCAGAGCATTCCCGCTTCGCATTTGAGCCCGCCAACGTCAACCCGCCTCCGACGGCCCAAGAATATCCAGCCCGCCGAAGAAGACCAATACCGCAACGAAGCCACATCCCGCGCAGGCCGCTTCAACTCAGGAGCGCCAAGCAACCGCCACTCTAGTCCGACACACCTCCATTCAGGGCCACAAAGCCCGCATTCCGAGATCAAGCCCGCGAAGGCCCGATCAAATGCAAGTCTTCATTAAGAAGGAAAAAAAAAAGGCCAAAACGCTTCTAGTAAGCTTCGAACCAGCAACCTACAAATCAACAGAAGACGCATAAACCAGTAAGCCACAGGGCAGCCATGTGTTCTCTCTCGGCAGCAGCCCTTATTCAAAGCGGTTCTCTACTGCTTCTACCACAATCCAGCTGAGTACTTCCGTTTACGAAATACTTAAATACTATGACATATTTCACACATACTATACTTCTGTTTGTGCTCTAAAAATACGGGGCACTAGTCACTCACATCTTTCGCAGATACAAAACTTCATCCCACTCCCTGAGCGATGCTTCCCCTCTACGTAGAAGCCCGATTCCGCTTCTCAGTGGGTGCGACATCGGTATAGCTAGAAACACGATCCCGCCTCCCAGAAGGTGTGACATCTTCAAAAAACAACTGTCGTCTTGAGTTAAAACTCTCAAGTCGTGGGGGCCGCCCTCCCTAGCACATAGCTAACGCCTAATATTCAGCCAACAACTCACGCTTAACATGCATACAAGCTCATGCCCATCTCGCGGTCCAACAGCTTAACGCATACAGCTCAGAGTTACGGCCTACATATTAGCACGCTCCGCAATGGGCTAGTGGGGAAATCTCAAACGACCTGAGAGCTCTAACTCAAGACATTGAATGCTAAACAAAGAAGCTAAGACGATGGCCGCACAAGGGGCAAACCGCATCGTTCGGACTCGCGAGCGTCCAATCCGCCAGGGGGCGTCCATCACTGGGTGGCGTCTCGTCCATCGGGAGGCGTCCATCACCTGGGACTCGCAAGGGGCAAAACCGCATCGTGCGGACTCGCAAGTAAGGCAAGTTAATACACCTTAACGCATTATTTTACTCATTCCATTCTTACAGAATACAAGAAGCAAAGGGGCAAATGTTGGGTCTAGTATTAACCCGCCTAATACGGGCCCAAGCCCACCACAAAGCGTCTCACCTTGGGCCCAAGCCCATTCTAGGGTCCAGTATACCGGGAGACGTCCAGTTAGGGATGGCAATTGGTCGGGTTTTGCCAAACCCAAACCCAAACCCATGGGTTTATCTTTGAAAAAACCCGGGGTAAAACCCAACCCAACCCGTTGGGTATCCGCAGGTTCATGGGTACCCACGGTTTTGTCGTAAAAAATTTACAATTACAAGTTCTTATCAAAATTAAAGTCAAATATCAATCTCTCAATACAAATTATCCATATATAAAACACCATTCTAGAAAA